TTCTTGGATGAACAGGTGAGTGATGCTAGTGGCTATCTTGAGAGGACGTTTTTGAGTCCTGCATCCATTAGGGCAATTGATGTTATCCGTAAATGGTTGGAAGACGCTGGTTTGAGAGTGTTAGCAATTCTAACTTCAACTCTGAATAGTTTTTCTCAAAGGTTAACTGATTCTTATGTTATTTCCAGATGGGTGGACCAAATGGGAAATTTACATGGTCGAGTTGACGGTGCAAATGCAAATGCCGAGGCTTTATTAATTGGATCTCACATGGTGAGGCATTTACGTCCTCACAATTTATTTACATAAAACTGAATTTTTCTCTTGGAAATTGATGGAAGATTTTAGTCACTATCCATATAATGATGAACAATTATTTTGGATAGGACACTGTTGTTGATGCTGGGATTTTTGATGGATCACTAGGAATAGTCTCTGCAATATCTGCGTTAAAGGTTATGCTTATCAACGGAAAGCTGCAAAAGCTAAGGCGCCCTGTTGAGGTTAGTCAAGTAGCTCATACAAACATGTAACTTTTTGGATGTTACTGTATCGCCTTTTTCACTTGCCATGAAACAAACATTTGAAGTTAAAAGCTACTTAACTTCAATGTTTTTGGCATCCAATGAACATGGTTTAGCTAAAAACTCATTTCTATCAACATATTTACAAGATGAGACTTGTTACTGTCGGACCATAATTTGCATAAGAGAAGGCCTAATTTAATTTGTACTGTGTTATTCAATTACATTAAATACAAAAATAGTGGTTTGTGCACACTGCTTATTGGTTTATTCCCTTCATAACAATGATGATATGCATTGAGGAAAAGGTTGTCGATAAAAAAATATTCACGGAAACATTGGGACTGTGGTATTGTTTTACCGATGTCATTTTATTCCTTCCCTAACATCTAATCCTGCAGGTGATTGCATTTAGTGATGAAGAGGGTGTCAGGTTTCAAACTACTTTCTTGGGCAGTGGTGCTGTAGCCGGGATTTTTCCTGCTACAACATTGGGAGTATCTGATAAGAGGTTTCATCGCGGAACTTTCTGATTATGGTTATAGTAAAAAATTCATAATCAATATATTTATTTATAGATCTCTTGCAGGGATATAACAATAGAAAGTGTTCTTAAGGAGAACTCAATAGAAGTTACAGAGGAAAGTTTTTTACAGCTCAAATATGACCCGAAATCAGTTTGGGGTTATGTCGAGGTGTGACAAACATTTGCATTCTTCATTTATAGTTCTATTTGGCTCAATAATTTCAGCCATGTGGTTCATGAAAATTTACATGCATGTTTGTCACATGTTGCAGGTTCACATTGAGCAGGGTCCTGTGCTAGAACAAGTTGGTTTCCCACTTGGTGTGGTTAAAGGCATTGCTGGGCAGACACGATTGAAGGTAAATTTAGCATTCAGCCTTGTTTGATTAAACTGAATCTCACTAAACCAAAGTGAACTCTCCCTCATATATATATATATATATGATATTATACATAGTAGAAAAATCAAGTATAATCTGTTCCATAGCATGGCAATGGTGCGCTTTAGTTCACTTGGTCACTTCGATTAGTTGTGCTTGTTACCTATCATTTTAAACCTTTTCATGTAGACCAAAGAAGATATAACTTTGATTGTCCTAAAGATCTTCTAAACAAGGCTTTATTTTTCTTGTAGATGTGAACTTGTCACCAAATTACATTTTGTGGCATGGTGTTTCTAACTTTACTAAGTATTCAGCATTCTATCCTCATAATCGATGTTGTGCAGGTTACTGTTAGAGGATCACAAGGTCATGCTGGAACGGTTCCAATGTCCATGCGGCAGGATCCTATGGCTGCTGCTGCTGAATTAATTTTAGTTATGGAGAGCCTCTGTAAAAATCCTGAAAAGTACCTTTCTTATGATTATCAATGCAGTGATTCAACAGTCAAATCACTTTCGAGTTCTCTAGTCTGCACTGTTGGAGAGATATCGACATGGCCAAGTGCCAGTAATGTCATTCCCGGCCAAGTAAGAGATGAATTTCTAAAGTGCTTCTGACCTTGATATGTCCAAGTGGGAATGCTTTTTTTTCCTTTTTTATTGAGAGTTAATTCATTGTTGATAATGATTTTGATTTTTTTTTTCAGGTTACATATACCATGGATATAAGAGCAATTGATGACCTTGGACGCGAGGCTGTTATTTATGATTTATCCAAACGAATTTACCAAATATGTGACAATCGTTCCGTTTCATGCATTATTGAAAACAAGGTAATGTCTTCTAATGTTAAGTGAAAAGTCCGACTTTAGTCGAGTTTATGAGTAAAGAACCATTTTATAATGTTTTTTTACCCCCTGCCTATTCTAATAAGGTATCTAGTCTAACAATGCTCCATAGTGTTAAGTGTTAAAAGTTTCGTATCAGCACGTCGCTTAAGTATTTCAGTAAAGAACCACATATAACATTTTTTTATGGATCATATAATCATGACATATCTTTGTTCACCTCAGCATGATGCCGGTGCTGTGATTTGTGATTCCGAACTTAGTTCACAGCTCAAGTCTGCAGCTTCTTCTGCACTCAAGAGAATGGAGGGTGACATTGAGTTTGAGGTGCCAACACTAATGAGCGGAGCCGGGCACGATGCAATGGCAATGTCTCACTTAACTAAGGTCACATATCTTATTCTTCTATATATGTGTTTTGATATGTAATTTAAACTGCAGAATATGACAGTGAATGAAATGTTGAACAGGTGGGAATGCTGTTTGTGCGATGCCGTGGCGGCATAAGTCACTCTCCACAAGAACATGTTCTAGACAATGATGTTTGGGCAGCTGGTTTAGCAACCTTATCATTTCTGGAGAATATGCAATAACTGTGTAAATTATCAACTAATATAGATATTGTAACATGTAATTAGTAGGTACATTTATAGAGTTTATTCATAGTTCAACTGGTTCTGAAGTTCCTTCTGTCTCCTTATAGTTTTGTAATTGAGTTTCACGTTACAATTCAGAGTAGTGTTTTAAATTGTAGTTATAGTTAATGTTATTGCCGTCGTGGTTGTGGTTACTACGATTGCAGTGTAAATTTGTTGTTACTAAAAAATGTGTTTGAATTTGATGTGGCCGATGCAACCCAAATACAGCTCGAAAGTGGTTGTGTTGTGATCCGATGTGACCCAAATGCAGCTCAAATGTGATTGTGTTGTGATGTTGATTGCAAAAAGGTTTCGACGGCTACTTCATGGTTAGATGAGATTTGGTAGGAACTCTAAAGTAGTTCTATAAATATGGAAGTACAATGTTTTATATAGACCCAATTAGATTGGGTCTCTTCTTATGGGCTATGACAATGATGAGTGAGGACATTGGATCTACATTAGCTGACATTTATGGTGGAGAAAATGTTAAAAGGTAAGTGGTGATAAAATATGATGACATAGCTATTCTAGTTATGGGGTGTTTTATTTACAATGATGACATGCATATTCATGATGTTGGAGTGGGGTGGTATGACGGTTGGTATTGGAAGTGTTTCAGGACACATGGTGCAGCGTCATGGCCGTGTCCTTTTTAATTTCAGCGGCATGAGCATCCACGACTGGACCATGCCCCATGGCATGGGCCATGTGCATCATTTGGTTTGTTGAGAGTTGGTTATATTAGTTTTCTGGCTTTTCATATTATCAAGTCTTTCTTCTTTTGATGTATAAATATTGTCATTATATTCCTTTTTCAGTATCAATAATAATAATGAGAAGTATTATTCAAGTGACAAAGCTTTGATTATCATTCTTTATTTTTTCTCCTTCTTTCTTCTTCAAGCTTTTATTTCTTATATTTCTTGGGTTCTAGAAGCATTGACATGACTGCTGCCTTCAAAGCATTAATTATGCCTTTAATGGCTTTTGCTTTGCTTTTATTCCTAAAACTCGTCCAAAGAGGAACAATGACTTTGTTCCATGCTGATAGAGAAATCTTCAAATCACTCAAGTCCTCAAGAGCAGCATCATCAAAATCAATAAAGGGATCCTCCATTTACATTTGAACAAAATAAAAGTGCTAGAATTTTTTTCCCCAAATTTTGTTTTGTTTTAAGAGAAGACTGAATGTATTTATAAGAACTCACCATTTTGCTTTATTTCAATCCTACTCTACTTCTTACCCCTCACTCACATACACGACATCATCATAGGGTGTATTTTACAAATATGAAGCTTCAACAATGTAAAACCATGAGATTAATTCATTCCATGAAAATATGGTCAAGATTTCTGACCAAGAACATAACTAAATGATTGAGAATCCAATCACATTAGGATCGAGATTCTGATCTATTGCGGTGTTTTGCATTCAAATCAAGATTTCAAACTAGAGTCATTAACATTTACTCTCCAACTTAAGGGAGGTTATTGAAAATGTTTCAGGACACATGGTCGTGTCACAACCGTGTCCTTTTCAATTTCAGCAGCAGGAGCATCAATGACCAGGCTGTTATACCAGATAGTTTGGTGAGAGTTGGTTATGTTAGATATCTCGTTTTACATACTAAGCCTTTCTTCTTTTGATGTATAAATATCATCATTATATTTATCTTTCAGTATCAATAATAATAATGAGAAGTATTATTCAAGTAACAAAACTTTGATTCTCTTTCTTTATTTTTTCTCGTTCTTTCTTCTTCAAACTTTTCTTTCTTATCTTTTTTATCTTTCTTGGGTTCTAGAAGCATTGTCATGTCTACTACCTTTTGAAACAATTAAAAATGCTATGCAAGAAGAACTAATGAGACTTTACAATATTGAAATACGATTGTCAAATTAACAATTGAGATTCCATAATGATACAAATAAATAGATCCTATAGCCACACATAGAAAAATAAAAGGGACATCAATGAGACATAAAATTTGTATATATATTTGAAGTCCCACGTCGTCTAACATTGAATCTTTTATCTTTTTATTCACATATATATAGATCCTTAATGCTTTAATCAAAATGCACTTGTGTGTCAAAGGAGCAACTTTAGTGGTATGGGACAACGAAATGAGGTCGAAGAATAAAGTAACTTCTTTTCCTTATTCTATTTATTTTTTATTTTTATATGTTTAGATTTATATTTATAGTTACTGATTTTATTATAAAGATGTGGGTACAAGATAATGAATATTTTACGAATTTTATATTGTCTTTTCTCTTCATATTTTATGAATTTTCCGTATTGCCTTTATTCTTTATATTTTATGATTTTTTTTCTTGCTTTTTATTATAATTTAGAGCTAATTACATTAACACCCGTGAGTTTTAGTGAAATTATATAAATCATTTCTCATTTTTTTGTCCTTACACGAACCACCCCTCGCTCTTGCATAAATCACCATTGATTCTATACATATATTATACTGACCACCCCTTATGGGATATAAGTGTAATATTTTAAAAAAACGTGTGGTGAATTTAATTAAGTTAAACAAAATATTATATATTGTGTAGACAATTCTAAATAGTACAAAAATGAGTGTTTTATTATTATTTTTGTTTCATTACACAATATATTAACAATTCCAATGAGATGTTTATATAACCTTATACTATTTTGTAATGAACCAAATAATGAAGCTGCATTGACTCTTATATTATTTGGATTTGTCTACACAATATTTTGTTTAACTTACGTACACATCACATATTTTTTATTTAAAATATTACGTTTTTATCTCACGAGGGATGGTCAGTGTAATATATGTACAAAATTAGGGGTGGTTCGTGTAGGAGAGAGAGGTAATTTGTGTAAGAACAAAAAAGGGAGAGGTAATTTGTGTAATTTCACTAAAACTCAGGGGTGTCATTATAATTAACTCTGTAATTTATTATCTAAGCTTCTCGAGAAACTTATTTTTATTGCTTTATTTTAAAGTTTACAATAGTGTAAATTACATTGGCACCCATAGGTTTTAGTGAGTTTACATAAATTATCTCTCCATTTTTTACACCTATAAAAAAATCATATTATATACATATATTACACTAACTAATTATGCACCGCAAGATAAATCAATGTGAACTTTTAAAATAAAAAATGATGACAAGTGTAATTAAGTTAAATAAAATATGGTATATTGTAGAGACAAATCAAAATAATATATGAATCAATATATTTTCATAATTTGAGCATAACTAGTTATCTACTTCAATTACATTTTTGGTCTGGTAGGTTACGTTCTCTACAAAATTAGAAGTTGTAGTATCAAGGGTATATTTGGTCATGAGGCATTTTACTATAATGTATAGTTGTAGTGCATTTTACTATAATGTATAGTTGTAGTGCATTTTACTATAATGTGAGTATTTCAACTAGAGGTTATGACTTCTTATCTTCCCCATTTGTAATAAATTTTAGATAAACAAGTAGTCTTGTCAATTCTACTTCAAAAGAAGTTCTAAGGTGGTGAGATAAAAGGTGAGTTTTTATTCTGTTTTATTTTCGTAACATCCTTTTTTATTAAGATTTCTCAGGAAGTATGGTTTTTATGACACTACTTCAACAATCCAGAATATCAAAACTTTAAGTGATTATTATTAGCTTTATTTTTATAAAGCCTTGATTGCACCACTTTGGAGATGCAACAATAAAACCACATTGGAGAGTACTTGAATGGTAAGTGAATGTGTTACAACATAACCACATTCGGTAAGTTAGTGGATATTTTACATGTGTATGCAACAAGAAAAATAAGAATTTATATAACGGGAGGATTCACTTATTCCAAGAGTAAGTTTTTTAAATTTATTTCACATCTTATTCATCAATTCTAAGAAATCTAATTGTTTAGATCTACTCACCAATTCAAATCATTGGATTTTCATAGAATTGATAGCTTAGATGTGGGATAAATTTCCTAAATTTACTCTTGGAGTTAGTGGATCTCTCCCTTTATATAAATGTTCCTTTTGAAGAAAATTGAAGCAACCCTTACCATTGTGCTTATATTTATGTGTGCTAAATTCAAATAAGCCTTATCACTGTATAACCCTAAATAGTTGAAGAAGTGTCATTCCACATAGTTCTTGAAATGCACTGATAAAGGCTCTAACTTGTTTTGCCATCCCAAAATTGGCTAATCTTAACGTTAAATTGGAATCGACCATTATATTTGTTAATTAATTGTCTTTGAATAAAATCCATTAATATGAACATAGAAAATTACTTTAACGACAAATTAAGGTAAGGAATATTATATAGATGAAACATGTAAGAAGATAATCACATACGGGCAATGTCTTTAGAATGAAAATATATGTTTGACTAAGAAAAATATTCCTATAGTTCTATTACAAACAGGTGTTTCCAAATTTTTATAGGTATACATATTTACATGCCAAAGACATTGTCTATTGGTTATTGAATTTTTACAATTCTGATTACATTTGTATTCTGTACTTTTAAATTTATTGTTAAGCTAATTTTAGTTATTGGATTTTGTTTAAGGGTCATTAAATTAGTAAAATATTTAGGATTCTAATATGACAATAAAATTAGCTATTTTGGGATGACAAACCGTGATAGAGCTTATTTCATGATTGTGCTAATGTTAATGGCAGAATAAGGTTCTTGACATTGTATTGTTGGAGTGCATTTTCCTATATCCTCTGCATTTCCTATATGTGGGTTTCTCCCCTGAGCAAGAAAATGAGGCTCAAGCGACATTTGTTCAAGCTATCTGTGGGTTTCTCGTCTGAGCAATAGGAGATCGCTGAAGCGTCAGCTCTAGAATTGGAGCAAAATCTCTTTGTGGGTTTCTCGCCCAAGCGTCACCTGTCGCCCAAGTGAGACTGTCCGGATAAGCTTGCTTATTTTGGTGTTGTTAATAGGATGTTTATCATAGGAATAGGTTTGGTTACCTATTTATAAGTTTAGGGACTTTTAATTCCTTTATAAATGTTCCTGGTTAATCTTTATAATATAAATATATGGGTGTAGTTACACTTTTGCTTTAAAAAAATAAAATGATATGGCTTCATATATTCCTCATTTGGGTTAAATTTAAGATAAGCAAGTAGTGTTTTTAGTGAGTTCTTTTCAAAATAGTATTTTTTTTATTAAGGCTTTTCAGGAAATATACTTTTTATGACACTATTTCAACAATCCAAAATATCAAAAATAATTTGTTCTTGTTTTATAAATCCTTGATTGGTAAGTGAACATGTTAGAACAAAACCTTATTCGGTAAATCAGTGAAAAACAAGAATTTATATAACAGTACTTTTTGAAGAAAAATGAAGGAGCTCTTTTTTTTTTATCGGCAAATGTTAGTATGTAATTGGAGGAGCTTTTACCATTGTATAACAGTTGCTGGCTTATATAGATGTGTGATGTAAATTCAAATAAGTTATTGTTTATATAAGACAAGTATATTTAGCCCTATCCCTCTATAACCATAAATAGGTGAAGTATAATTCCAAATTGTGTGCAGATTATAAGTGTATGTTTTAGCACATTTAAGGTGTATATAAAGTTGTGCACACACTTTATGGTCGTTATTTGGGGATTTATCTTTTTGTAGGTGTAGGGTATCACCTAGGAGAAAATAGAGAAATTTAGGAGAAATCATCGGCTGCAATCAAGGTCCAAGAGAGATCCCATTGGGATACTTAGTTAGAAGTGACGGGGAATCATTAGAAGCTAGGTCCAAGAGAAGTTTTGGTGAAAAGTGTTTGTGTCAAACATTTGATTTCTTCTAATGAAGCAAATCTCCAAACATCAAAAGAGGTGCATGAATGTACTTTGCATGTGGACAAGCAAACGAACCAGGATAAAATTGACTCTGATTTATTCTCTTAACCCTACTCTTTACTTACTCGCATTTATCACTTTATTACGTTGATTGATATCATTCTTTAAGTGATCATTTGCATAAGTAAACTTTCTATGTTAACTGCACTCTGATTTCAATATTAAGAGCATATTTGGGTGATTAAAATCTCTGTTATCTTGTAGTGTTAAAAGAATTAAGAACCAAAACAATTTTGAGAAAACTATCAGTTTATCGATTAAGTCTGCATATAATCTATTAAATTTGTCATGTATTAATTGATCAAGTTTTCATATAATCGACTATATTTGCTTTGTGTTAATTAAGTAATGTATCTTTTAATCAATTAAAACCAATATCGTTTTGGAATATATTTTGCATTTTGAATCGAGTTCAATCGTAATCTTTACCACCTATTCACCCCCACTATGTTAAGATAGGGCTTTTTTTAACCAACAGAAATAATCTAAGATGAAATCCTCCTAATAATAAGCTAATCAAGTTGTAATTTTAAAATCCTTGTCATTTTAAAACAAATATTTTATCATTGAGCACATAAATGCTGAGTTAAAACTTTTTCACTATTGTGAAGAAAATCTTACTCCTGACCTTGGCACGGTTTTGATGAAGACACCAATATCACAAAAAGAAGAAAGGAAGAAGACCAACAAAGACTATCGAAGATAAAGCTTCAAGATTTAGAGTCTAAGTCTTTAGGTACTTCTATCCTTACAACTTCTTTAATTACTTAGTTAATAATTCTCAAAATTGTTTTCAAGAAAATCAGGAAAAACTAAGTGTGTAAAAACTCAATTTCTACCCTTGAAAATTTTTCGTTTATTTAAAATCCTCCCTTACATACATCCATCATTTTACTTAAAACCCTCATCAATCATTCCTTGAAACTAATCTTTCAACCTATTATATTATCATACAATTCATTTTGCAGAAAAACATAATTCATTCAATTAGTAATTACCACATACAACCAGTTATGGGTTTCCAATAGTTATAACGTCCATAACTACATACCTCCAGCATTATCCTAATCAGATTTACATTCATCCCAAAATATTATCTAGTCAACTACAATGTCAAAGTAACGATAAAGACATTCAAGTTAATAAACACATAAGATTCCTAAGTGAGCTTCCCCCTCAAATCCTTCATTTAACTACAATGAGATTATCATAAACAACACACAAAAACAAAGGAATAAGTCATTAGTACAAAAACTAACATTACATGATAATCCACATTTCAAATACGATTAAGCATTAATATAATTTATAACCACAATTACGTAAACGTAAACATTCATATCTTCCTTCTTTCATTTTCACGTTATTCATATTCATCGTATAGTATATATATCTCATAATATATATTCTATAGCATGCATATTACGTTCATTTGAAACATCGTCCTTCTCATTATTCATATCCACCCTATAGAACATATATCCCATAATATATATCCTATAGCATGTATATTACTTTCATTCTGACATCCTCATTTCTCATCCTTCATATTCACCCTATAGTATATATATCCTATAATATATTCCTATAGCATGCATATTACTTTTATCATTCACATCCTCATTTTCATCATACATATTCACCCTTAATCGTATTCATCGAGTTCACTTCTCATACCACATCGGGCAGGTCGAGTTTATTTCCCATACCACATTGGGCAGGTCGAGTTATTCCCCATACCACATCGGGCAGGTCGAGTTATCCCCATACCACATCGGGCAGGTCGACTTATTCCTCATACCACATCGGGCAGGTTGAGTTATCCCCATACCACATCGGGCAGGTCGAGTTATTCCCCATACCACATCGGGAAGGTCGAGTTATTCCCCATACCACATCGGGCAGGTCGAGTTATCCCCATACCACATCGGGCAGGTCGAGTTATTCCCCATACCACATCGGGCAGGTCGAGTTATTCCCCATACCACATCGGGCAGGTCGAGTTATCCTCATACCATATCAGGCAGGTCGAGTTATTCCTCATACCACATTGGGCAGGTCGAGTTATCCTTATACCACATCGGGCAGGTCGAGTTATTTCTCAAATGATCCACTACCACTTCGAGTAGGTAATTTTTCCAATGATCCACTACCACTTCGGGTAGGTAACAACAATAAACCAGCTCCTACCTTGGGTAGAGTAACAATAATAATTCACTACCACTTCGGGTAGGATAACAACAATAAACTCACTCCTACCTTGGGTAGAGTAACAATAATAATCTACTACCACTTCGGGTAGGATAACAACAATATCCGTACAAATACATTACCTCTTTCACATACCTCATTCACATCAGCGAGTATGATTTAGAGACACTTATCTCTTACCTTGGTGAGTGTTGGGGATCGGATCCGAGTAACTTTAAAAGTCTCCTCCGCAATTTCCTCCAACCTTAGGATATTTCCTCATTTCCACCAATAACAACAATGTCAGTCATTTATTCAAAATAACACATAAACAACTCGTATTTCATCATCAAACATATAAGGGATTCACATATTTTCAAGATTTCCAAAACTACTTCAACACAAGTTTCCAAACATCTAAACATACATGTTCATATCATATATCAACATCAAAGCACAAACTCATCATCCACATCTAACATTTCATCCATTTCTCTTTTTACTCATATTCTCATTTTGGGGGTTTTTGGGGTTTTCATGAATAACCCACAAAACTTTTTCCATTCATCAAATACCAACTCTAAAACCAAGAGTTTACAAGAGAAAAACAACATAAAACGAACCATAACTCTAAATGATGAGTTTCCATGGTTTCTCATATTTTGAAAAGAGATCCAACATACCCAAAACAAGTTAGAGAGGAAGAAGAAGAGTTAGGAACAAGAGGTTTACCTCTTCTCAAGCTTTAAGATGATTCCTAAGGCTCTTTGCTCTTGAAAAGCTCTCATCTCTCTCTTCTCTTCAAAGTTCTAACCCTAAAATGTGTTTGGGGTTTCTATTTTAAAGAGGAGTCATCGGGTTCTTGCTCAAGCGAGCTCATTCTCGATCAGGCGAGAAAATCCCGCATTTTTAAAATTTCAGATCTGACGCTCTCGCTCAAGCGAGAATCTCACAGTCTCAACATGCTTCTTCTCGCTCAAGCGACCCATTCCTCGCTTGGGCGAGACTCCCAGAATTTTCCAATTTCAAAACACTGATCCTCTCGCTTGGGTGAGGTCCCCTCGCTCAAGCGAGAATCTGGAAGTATGCCCCATTCCTCAGGACTGTTACCTAATTTCAAGGAGGATAAATTTGGGGTGTTACAAAGTGTGAATAAAAATAATTTTCAAAAACAACATGTAATGGGTTACCATACTTGAGTAACAAGTTACATGAGTGAGAAAAGAGTTTTCAAACCTCTAACAGATTACCATTTTTAGAAAAACAGGGTAATCGATTACTCAAAGTAGTGTAATCGATTACACTAAGGAAAATTCACAAAGCTGTCAAACAGTGTCATTGAGTAATCGATTACTCAAATCCAGTAATCGATTAGACTGTGTAAATTTTTAAAAAGCTGTTAACAGGATTGTTGGGTAATCGATTACCCATTTGCAGTAATCGATTACTGAGAGCAGTTGCATCAGTTTTTCAGATTTCAAGTGAAATGGTTTCACTCCAAACAGATTGTTTTTCATTCAAAATGAAACCTACTCATGCCTAAGGGTATTATGGTTAATTGGAAGCCTATATAAAGGCATTGAAACACTCTTACAACATACAACAATATACAACAACTCAGATTACAAACTTTTACTTGAAACTCTCAAAAACCTCACACTTTCTGATTTTACTTACACTTTTCAAGCAACCTACTCTTAAACTTTCAAAGTTATTTTGAAGTTGCTTCTAAGTGTTTTTCATATTGTTAAAGAGCATTATTATCTCAAGTATACGAGTTGTTATTGGATTGCAAGTTCTAGAAATTGTCATATACACTTGTAAGGCAATCCAAGCCGAATTGTACATTCTTCACTTTTGCAAAGTTTACTTTCTTTCACAAGGGTGTGAAGAGAAAGGGTGAGTGACTTGGTATAGTGTTTACCAATGGTGTAACTTGGTATAGTGTTTACCAAGGGTGTTACTTGGAATAGAGTATTCCAAGGGGATTAGATATAGGTGAGTGTGTAAGGTACAAGGAGATCTCGGGG